CCCCCTTCCTCTCCCTCTTCCTTCTCCCGTACGGGCCCATAGTGGCCTCGAACGCCCTCTAAACCCCCATTTTCGCTTCCTCCCACCACCGCCGCTTTCCTCCTTTCCCCTTTTGCATCGTCCTTTTCCTCCTCGTCGTCCTCCCCCTCTTCTTCCTCCTCCTCCCGCCATCGTTTTCCCAAAATAAAGTCTTTCAAAAACGCGTCAGTCGCCTTCTCCCTAATCTCCTCTTCCTCCTCCTCTTCCTCCGCCTGCATGCCTCCTCTCTCTCCCTTTCCCGTTCCTCGACCCCTTGGCCTCGTCTTCATCATCCGTTCAACCTCCTCTTTGATCTGCCCTTCAACCTCCTCCCCCACCTTCTCTCCTCCTCGCCTCAGCTTCAAAAGACCCGTGCCTTCAAAGTCCCCTCCCTCCTCCTCCTCCTCCTCCTCCTCCTCCCCCAGACCACTCCTCTTCACGCTCTCTCTCGACGATCCTCCGGCTTTCCCTTTTTTTTGCCTTCTTTCCGCCTCCTTCTCCTTCTCCGCCTTCTCCTCCTCTTTCTCCTCCCCCCCCTCTCCCTCCTGTTCCCCCGCCGCTGCCTCCAAGAACGCCTGTCGCAATTGCAATTGCTCGGCATCATAACCCATCCGTTGTGAGGACACAGGCTCCCCTCCACGCTCCCCACCCGCCCCGCTTTTGTCCAAATCTTCCTCCTCTGACGACTCGATCGCCTCCTTATCAGCCTCGACCGCTGCCAGCACCTGCTCACGGATCACGTCCTTGTACCGCTTCGGCCTCTCTCCCTTCCTCCTCCCCTCTTTTCCCTCGGCTTCCTCGTCTTCCCCATTTGAGAACCACTTCACATCGTGCTGGTAGATCTTTGGGTCTTTCTCTCGGATGCTGTTTATTGTCTTGAGAATCTGCACTTCCATGGCCGGTGTGAGTTCCTCCCCTTCCTCGTCCTCTTCTTCTGAGGAAGACACGTCCGAACCTTCTCCCTCCCCTTCATCCGAAACGATATCGGATGCACCCCAGGAAACATGTTGCTGTCGTCTCAATTGTGCAAGCTCTTGCTTTTTCTTGGAGCTTTCAAAGTGGGAGGCGTATACCCTGTTAACTCGCAGCTAACAGGAGCGCGGGATCAGCTTGTCAGACAATCTGTTGACCTGCTGGTCCTCTCTTATTCACCATGCACACGTAGACTAAAAGCAAGAAAGTATGGCAACGTTTGTGGCATAAAAAACTGTTCACACAACGCTTTTAATCCCTCCCGTTACCTTGTCGAAAGCAGCGTCCTCATCCCCTGCGGCCCCAGCCTCATCCTCATCAAAAATTTGCTGCGGTTTGCGCTCCATTTTGGCTTTTTCACGAGACAATTTGGCCATGACGACTGTGTTGATATTTATAACGAAAGACTTTTCAAATGAAGAGGTTGCAGATTGCCGTCCACGGGGCAGCCACAATGTTATACTGCACAACCACACCTCTTAACCTCCCCTGCCCCCATTGATTTTCATAGCAGCCAGCAAGAGATCTCCGTTGACAGGAGAAATGATTCATGGAAAAGCCCCCATACTAGCATTTATATATCGAAAAATGATTTTAGAGCACATGCGTGATTAATAGCGCGTAACAAATTGCGTGCGCAGTCTCTTTGTAATGACATGCACATCTACTTTTACCTCCCCTGTCCCCTCTGCCAGATCCGGGACACACACAGAAATACCATGACGAACTTGTGTTTACGAAAAATAAGCGCTCTTACTCTACTTCTGATATACCCTGACGGTGCTTGGAGTTTCTCTACCCCAGCCCCTTCCTCCCCACCGCCACCGCCTTCCTGGCTAGTCGATGCCGCTGTGGGATGGGCGTCGATCAAAGGCCTCCAAATGGTAGCCCCGTCGAGTAGCCGAGCACAGAGCCATCCCATTCAATACACACATCTCCCGGTTTCCCTTTTGCCAGCCTCTTTCCCTGCCCAAGCATTTGAAGACGTGGTTGCCGCCGCCCCTATTTTTAACGAGCTCGTGGACCGCATCAGTCGCGACAAAGACTACCTCGGAAGTGCCTTGGCCGAAGTCAGTGCCAGCGACGAGTTCACTGGCCAGCTTCTACGTATGTACGAGGAAATCTACCCGTCAGGGGTCTCAGCGGCCGCCCAGCCTGTTGCCTTGGGCCTGCACCGCTCGGATTATATGACCGATGACAGCGCGGACTGGCGTGATGGGAACGGAGAGGGTGTCAGCAGGCAAGCTGGCAAGCCTCGACCCCAAAAGCGCCTCCTACAAGTGGAACTGAACACGATTGCCTCTTCTTTCGGCTGCCTGGGCGCTGTCACTGCCGACCTCCATCGATACCTTCTCGATCGATTCTTCCTCCCCTCGGTCGCGCTAGCTCCTCACGACGCTCCCTCCCCACCGTCCCATGACGATCTTCACGCCTTCCTCTCAGCTTATCTCCGCGATCACGAGTTTCCTCTCCATCCGTCCTCTCCCCTCCCCTCGACTACGTCGTCCCCTTTAGTTGAAGCCACCTTAAGGAGCATGCCCCCCAACCCCACCCTCTCCCGCCTCCCCGCCGCCCTCGCCTCTGCTCACGCCTACTACAACCAGCCCCGCGCCCTGGTTCTCTTCGTCGTGCAGCCCGGGGAGCGTAACCTCTTTGACCAGCGGTTTTTGGAGCTGGCCCTGTGGGAGAAGCACGGCCTGCAGGTTGTGCGACTCTCTCTTGAGGAAGTCGCTCGCCGCTGCCGCCTGGCCCCGGGGCCGACGCAGGCGCTCTGGCTGGACGGCAGGCACGAGCTGGCGGTTGTCTACTTCCGAGCGGGCTACACCCCGGCCGACTTCGGTTCCCCGCTTGCGTGGGATGCCAGGCTACTCATCGAGGCCTCGGCCGCGGTCAAGTGCCCCACCTTGGGCTATCAGCTCGCGGGGACCAAAAAAGTCCAACAGCTCTTGTGCGAGCCGGCGGGCCTCTCCCGCTTCCTGAGCCCTGCACAGTGCCTGGCGGCCAGACAACACTTCACGAGCATGTACGGATTGGGGGCGGCAGACTTAAAGGACAAAGAGGGAGGACCCGCACGGGCGGTCGATGCGGCGATCGCATCCCCGGGGGGTTACGTGTTGAAGCCGCAAAGAGAAGGGGGGGGGAATAATTTGTACGGCGAAGAGATGGCTAGGGCCTTGCGTGAATGGTCATCGGAACGATTGTCAGGGTACGTGTTGATGCAGCGAATCCAGGCACCAGCCAAAAACGCCTATCTTCTCCGTGAGGGAGAAGCCGTGGGAGGTCCAGCAATCAGTGAGTTAGGCATTTTCGGAACCTTTTTAGGGGACACCTCGTCAGAAAAAGTCATCGAGAACCAGTACGCTGGGTATTTGGTAAGAACAAAACTGGCACACGTGAATGAGGGGGGTGTTGCGACCGGCTTTGCTGTTGTGGACAGCCCCATGCTAGTGAATGAATGAGGTGGGGAGGTTAATAGCTTGCGAGACTCAAAGAGCATGTCTTGTGTACAGTTATCTAGAAGAAAAAAATGACATTTCGATCGATTTTACTTCGTTTTGCTTGGTTACGCAACCCACAAGCTACACGGAAACCGGTCGTCTCGAGAAGGAGCATGGGCCACGGGGGCGGGCGGGCACATTAGAAGGGCAAATGGATGGACTCTGTAGCTGCTGGTGAGCAGGTCGTGTGGAGGCCTACGCTTTTACACTGCAAAGTCACAGCATGCCCGCTGTGTGTCGTGCCTACGAACAGCCTTCACCGCCCCAACCTGGTAGCTTGGTGTTGTGGATTGACATCATTGACGTTGCACTCGAAGGGCACGACATCCTCTTCGCCTCCCCGGCAGCGATGCCTTTGATTGCTCTCTTTCCTGTTTGCTCGAGGCTTCCCTCTAGCGTGGCCGCCGTCACGCCTCCTCACACCAAGCCTATTCAATTCGTTTCACCTCAACACATTTATTCGTTCCAGGAGGCAGGGTAAAGCATCTTTATTCACTCCATCAGAGACGGTGACGGAAAGCAAGAGCCCTGAGCCCGGCGACAAGAGAACCACCAGGAGTGCAGAAGCAAGCATTTCTGCATCCCTGCATCTTCCTTTTTTCCTCAAGTAATTTTCGACAATTTCTACAGCCATGGCACGGCTGCTGTTATTGTCTCTGCTCCTTATTGCAAGCGCTCACGCGTTTCACTTCCATTCGTCCCTGTGCAAAACGGGGGCGTCTCGGATGTCGTCTTTCAGAGCTCGCCAGCAGCGGGCTGAATCTTCATCTCTGATGCTCGCCACTTCCCGAAGAAGCCATACGATGACAATGATGGCTGCCGGAAGCAAACCCAAAAAAATTGTTGTTCTAGGTACGTCGTTGATGTCTAAGTCGTAGGCGTGGATGGTTATGGATGGATGCGATGGCCTCGCCAGGTCGCTTATTTGGATTGCGCGAATGGCGACCCGGGGCAAATCACCCCAATTGCCACCATTCCCCCGTTACGGAGTGGGGTAACTGCATCATTTCAAGAAGTGTGCGATATGGGAGGCGAACGGTGCCAAGCATTTCCCAAATATCCCTTTGCGTGCCGTGCCGTGACGCGCTCAGGATCAAGCCCCCACGTCCTCAGATCCGAGCAGCGGGCACCTCACGCCTCTTTATAGCCCCCCAACATGACTCAAACTTTTTGATGATAGAATTAAACTCGATGCGTCTCGCCCCTTTCGCTCCCCCTACTTTGCAGGCGGCGATGGTTTCTGTGGGTGGCCCACCTCCCTGTACCTCTCCGAGAAAGGCCATGACGTTATCATCGTCGACAACCTCAGCCGACGGAACATCGACAACGAGCTTGGCTGCTCCTCCCTCACTCCCATTGAATCTCCTGAGACTCGCGTTAAGGCATGGGAGAAGGTGAGCGGGCGCACCATGCGCTTTGTGAATCTGGACGTGGCTAGGGACTATCAGGAACTTGTGCAACTGTTCTTGGCCGAAAAACCTGACGCAGTCGTGCATTTTGCGGAGCAACGCGCCGCGCCTTACTCTCAAAAAGGCGCGAAGCAGAAGCGGTACACGGTGGACAACAACGTCTCGGGCACGAACAACCTGCTGGTGGCGGTGGTGGAGAGCGGCCTGGACATCCATGTCGTGCATCTGGGAACGATGGGCGTCTACGGCTATGGCACCAGTGGGGGCGAGATTCCCGAGGGCTACATCGACGTGATCCTCCCGGGGGGGCGCCCTTCCTCCATCCTCCATCCTGCCTACCCCGGCTCCGTCTACCACACGACCAAGTGTCTGGACGCCCTCCTCTTCCAGTTTTACAACAAGAACGACGGGATCCGCGTCACGGACCTGCACCAAGGCATCGTCTGGGGCACGAACACGCCGCAGACGATCAAGGACGAGCGACTCATCAACCGGTTCGACTACGACGGAGACTACGGCACTGTCCTGAACCGGTTTATCATGCAGGGGGCGCTGGGGGTGCCTCTGACGGTCTATGGGACGGGGGGGCAGACGCGCGGCTTCATCCACATCACGGACACGGCCCGCTGTATCGAGATCGCCGTCTCCAACCCCCCGCAGGCAGGGGAGAAGGTGCAGATTTTTAACCAGATCGCAGAGACGCTCCGAGTGGGAGACCTGGCGAAACTGGTGGCGGAGAAGACGGGGGTGGACATCAACTACCTGAAGAATCCGAGGTTGGAGAGCGCGGAGAACGAGCTGGAGGTGGCGAATCGGAAATTCCGAGGCTTGGGATTGGACCCGATCCTGCTGGATTCGAATTTGGGCCTCGTGGACGAGGTCAAGACGATTGCCGCCAAGTATGCGGACAGGTGCGTGCGCGAGAAGATCCTCCCGGCCAGTTTTTGGAACCGAAGGCGGGAGGCGGAGTGCGAGGCAAACACGCTGGAGGGCGGCAAGTAAGGGTGGATGGGTAGGGAGGGACGGTGCAGGAGGCAGATTGGCAAGTAAAGGTTGCGGTGAGGAAGGGAGAGGATGGGGGAAGCGAAGAGGGAAAGGGCGTGGCCCCGGGCGGGGGGAACAGAAATGCCTCCGGCCGAGGGTCAAACTCGAGACAGAACAAGAGGCGCGCGGGATTTGACCTTGGCCTTTCTCGGTGCTGCTTGAGCCTGCCACGGGGACGCATGGTCGACGTGCACAGCCAATTTGATTAAAAAAAAACTCACGCGCCAACCCTATCTGTGTCGCCACGGACTCCTCGTCTCAGAATCCTGCCTTTTCTTTTGAGTTGGACCGCCGCGCTCGCTCGCCCATCCGCCCCTCCCCTGCGTCCTCGCTCACCTCGGACAAGCTGGCCTATCCCTCCGCCAACCCGCCCTGCTCGTCCGGCCCCTCCCCTCGGTCCTCTGCCTCCCTCTTTGCTGCCCGAGCGGCTTGCCTCTCTATTTTTCTTTCCTGTGCCTCTTTCAGCTTGAGCTCCTTTCGCGCCACATTCCCTTCCTGCTCTTCCCTTCTTCGCTTCTTCAATTCCCTCTCCGCCTTGGCCTTGGCCTCCAAGGCCCGCACCTCCTCGGGGGTCTTTTTAATGTAATCGTGATATATCACGTCCCCCTCCATGAAGCCCCTCTGCACCTTCATCAGCCGCAAGCGCAGGCGAGGGCCGAGCTCCGCCAGGCGGATCGCCGATTTTTGAGATTTCAAATTCCCACGTCCTCGAAAGCGGTCGGGGAGGATGACATGCGAGGCTTCGTCCTCGACCTCGCTGTCGGAGGCCGCTCCGGCGCCGCCGTAAGCCTGTAAGGCCGGACCCAGGATGAACTCGCTGTCCGCGTGAAAGGGGAGAGGGAGGGAGGAATGAGCAGGATTTCCGCCCAATGGTATGTGAGGAGCAGGACGGCCACAGGTCTCTGGCTCAACGCCACAACGATCGGGGGGGCGAAGCAAGGAGACGGGCAGCTCGCTTGAGAGGCCCACCTACCTGATATCAGTCATTTTCCCAAGGCGGGGGATCTTGGTTTGCACCAGACGTTTTACACTTTTGTGGAGCTCAGACGGTGCTGCCCGGATGGCGAAGTGCCTTTGCTCTACCACGCCAGTGTCCGCCTCATAATCGTAAAGAACGATACGCCGGCAGTCGGTCAGGCGAACAGTGTTCACGTTCAAGGGGGGGAACATGTTTTGGAAGGTGATTTTCATTAATTTGACATACGGTGGGCTACTGACATCCCCAAAATTGTTCAATACAACTAGCGGGGCTGTCTGATACGCGCTGAGGCTTTCATATGGCCTTTTTTGGGTGGCGCGAACGTGATGCTGCAGACAGTAACGTTCCACCTTAAAAGTCAAAGTAGGGCCACGCGGAAAACGAGCGATATGCAAGCTCAAACTTGCCGGTGTCTGAGACAGTGACAGAATGTGTGTCAACCCTAAATGTCCCGCAACGGCTGCAAAGTCTTTCATGCGATTAGTACGTCTCTCCTTGAGGCGAGCAGCAGTCTCCGGTCCCATGAGCCTTCGTAATTCTGTAACCAAAGCTCCCGCCTCCGGTGTTGTTCGGCCCTTTCGCAAGACCATCGTCTTGGGTATCCGTTCCTCCTCCGTCAAGCTCTGCTGTTGCTCGGGGTTGACGGGAACGTGCGTTCGGCGCTTGCGTCTCTTGCCCATGGTTAATGAGAGGCTGGGCGAGAGATAACGAAGAGGGGGAAAGGGTTAGGCAATCGCCATGCAACCAGAGAACTTCCACGGCATCATTCAGAGGACAGGTAAAACTAATCATCAATCTAGGAGGCCGCACTCTCCGAACAACAAGTTTTCCATGCGACGGGTTTTATCCAGGCCCCTATGGAAAAAGAGGGCAGTATCTTTCCTCTTCGCCCTCGCCGTCATCGCAACTGCCCCGGAAACTTGCTTTGAGAAATTGCTCCGCTTCACAGTCTTTAACAAAGCAACGTACATGCACAGGCTTAAACATTTGAAACAGTGGCAGCAT